AGTGATGCTCACAGAATGGGTTTAGCGTCGCGTAACAAAGCAGTCAGAGCGAACTTTATATCCCGTAAGTCTTACACCTTTTTCTCCTGCAGTCTTACGCGATGCAGTTGTACCTCCGACAAGTGTGGTTCGACCCTCGCCTCCGGTTCAACAAGACGGACCTGGGCAAGAACGAGTTCTCCATGAACTGGATGTTTGCTGCCAAGCTCTGGAAGCCAGACACCTTCTTCATCAACGGCAAGAACTCATACGTCCACAAGATCACAGCACCAAACACCTTCATCCGCTTACAGCACGACGGCCAGATCACTTGGTCTTTGAGGTGTGTGGGTGAGAGCGAGAGAGAGAGAGAGAGAGAGAGAGAGAGAGAGAGAGAGAGAGAGAGAGAGAGAGAGGAGTTGCACATGTGTCTTATTTATCAGCTTGTCGGCAGTGTAAATCAGTAATAAAACACGATTTTTAAGGCGAGAGACAGATTATGAATTGTGGAACAAGCTGTACTAAGAGGAATGAAAATATAAAACTTAGTGAGAGAATAAGAAAGAAAACGACAGAAGAAATGAAGCTGAAAATGAGATAATCCTAAAAATATAGAGATTCTGAGTAATCATTAAAGCTATACCAGCAACAAAACGAATCGAATAATAAACGAGAGAAGAAGAATGGGTAGAGAGAAATGAAACTTAGATATAGTACTAAAAATAAATAAAATGGAAAATTTATTATGTGGCAGGTTAAGGTTAGGTCAGTGTGGGTTGGACACACAGTTTCGTGCTATGGGAAAATAAGAAGGTGTGTGGATAGCTGGATGATGCTGGTGTACGCTTGAATAGTATATTCTATTAAAAAATCTAATTTCTATAACCATAGCCATAATTTTTAAAAGGGTGGACCGACATGTCAGCAGAAGGCTTCGGTCAGATGACCAAGAGCTCCAGCTGCGAGTCTTCATATGACTAAGAACAGCGTCAGGATACACTAGTTTCCTGACAATTCTTACCTAACCTAGCATATTCTGGGGACAACTGTGCCACCGGTATATAGGTAACATAGTAGGTAATTGTGGGTAGACAAGAGTAAATAAGATAAGATAAGAGAGAGATAAGATTTCGTTCGGATTTTTAAACCGGAGGGTTGCCACCAGGAAACAAAAAGTCAGTGCGTCATCGAGGGATGTCTAACTTATTTATCCATTGAAAAATCCTAATCTTGTACCCCATGGATGCGACCACATCACAAGGTCGACATACAACCCAGGTACTAGTTTCTATGACAGACAACAGCGTAAGGATACACTGTTCGAATTTTCCGACCGCATATCGGACAACCGTGCCTCCGGTATGATAGCTGTAGGTTTGTGTAGCCACAGGAAGCCTACAAGTATATTTGTTGTGTAAGTGTGGTTAGATAATGTTAAGTAGAAAAGTGTGGGTGTAGTAGACAATAAATAGGCAATATACAAATAACCCGCACACTGGAGAAAAAACTTTGGTCCAAGTCGGAGCGAAACGTCGTCATAAGCTTCTTTCTTCTGTTTGCGGGTTATTTGTGTATTGTTTCAGTCACGGTAATTGTGCCTTTTTGTTCTCCAATAAACAGATAAGTGTAGGTAAATAAGAGTAACATAAATGTATGTGTGTGTGTGTGTAGACAAAAATAAGTAGACAAATTACAAATATTTCGTACCGACAAGCAAGTTAATGTGGCACAACATGCGATTTATGGCATTTTGCTGAGGAGACGTTTCGCCCACCATGGACTATCAGTTCTCCAAGTCCCTGCCGGGCTGAAACGTTTTCTCAATAAAATGCCACAAACTGCATATTGTGTCTAGTTAAAACATTATGGTTAAGTTACTGGGTATCAGCGGCATTTTCTGGGTTTATAAATTTTTGGGTATGGAGAATACAGCATAATTTTAATGTGTGACTGCAGTTTACTGCATTGAAAATGGAAGGAAAATCTTCATATTTAATTTATATATAATTTTCTTGCATTTCCCCTTTGTTTTAAAAGTATTTTTTCTCAAACTGACAGACTGACTGTGAAGAGCCAGCTGTAAGATGCACCTCAGGAAGTTCCCCCTTGACACCCAAATTTGTCCCCTGAGTCTCGCCTCCTGTGAGTATTAGCTGATCAGAGAGTATTCTCTCTCTCTCTCTCTCTCTCTCTCTCTCTCTCTCTCTCTCTCTCTCTCTCTCTCTCTCTCTCTCTCTCTCTCTTACTCACTACCTTCATTTTCTTCTCTTGAGCACCTCCACCAATTTTTTTTAACTTCCTCTTGCTTCCTTTAGTTTCCTACTTTTCCAGCCTTTCATACCCACTCTTGAAACTGTGTATCGAGTTTGCCTCCTCTTTCACTTCCTTCCACTTGACCATTGGAAACTCTATAATATAATAAAAAAAAAAACTTCACGTCGAAGTGAATTTTTCTGTATTTTTAGTTTCTACGTATTTCCACTTGATTATAGTTCCCATGCATTCCTTCGACTATTTTGTATGTCTTAATCATGTCTCCCCCAAGTTTTTACCCTCGAGAGTCGCCATGAGTATGTGTATTTGTTTAATATTTTGTTTCTTTTCATAATTTATTTCAGTTGTGTAGCTCTAAAATAATAATAATAACAATAATTATATAATATTAATAATTATTATAATATAATAATAATAATTATTATTATATTAATATAATAATAATTATTATAATAATAATTATTGTTATAATAATGTAATAATAATTGAAATAATAATATTAATAACGACAATAATAATTTAATAATAATATTAACAATAATAACAATAATAATTTACTATCATAATCATTATTTAAAAAAAAATTCATTAACTTTAAATTTTAAAATGAAATTATTAAAAGAGTTTAGTTTTTTGGACACCATTAAGAGTACAATAAACCAGCGCCAGTGAACTCTACAACCTTAGCGATATTAAATCACGATATTAAATTCGCTTAGTGAATTTAATATCGTGATTACTCACACTGTATCGTGCAAAATATGTAATACATCATATTAAAGCCACCTTACGGGTAGGAATAGAACTCATGGCGAGTGAGTTGTAAAACTACAGGCCCGTGCGTAAGCCACTGGACCAGCTGGCTACAGTACGATTCACCCAGGTATGTATATTTATACACCATAGGGAGGTTAGCATGGGCCACCACTGTGACTACAAATGCTCACCTTACAGGACAATTACTGATATGCAAAATTTTGCAAGTTCTAAATATGACAGGAAGAAACTTGCATTACCATCATTCTGTGCCATATTAGAAAAATATTTTATAACAGAGAAGTAATGTATTAGGGGCCCATTGGCCCATGCTAGGTAGGTCCTTCTCATGCCCATTCGCACTCATAATTTTTTGTTTAATAATTTTTTAAAGCTAGCCTTAAGAACGAAACTTTGTTATTATTATTATTATTATTATTATTATTATTATTATTATTATTATTATTATCGTGAAGAAATGCTAAGCCCGTAACGGGATCACAGTGTCGGAGGAGAGGAAAATCATCATTCTTAATTCAAGAAATTGAAAGTTACCTTTAATTTCCTGGCTGACGAGCCCATCACTTGGCTCAAGGGCCTTCCCTCCCTTTTCCCTGAACTACAGCAAACACCAGCATGCACTATTCCTAAGGACTTTATAGGGTTTATCTCGTAATATCTAAACAATGTAATAAGTAGTACATATAACAGCTTTGGATGGTAATAAAGTTGGTAGAATTACCGAAAATTAAAGTAAAAGGACACAAGTGCAACAATGTACATTTATTGTGCAACGTTTTCCTCTCCAGGAGCTTTCATCAAGCCATTCAAACTATACATGCACTAAGGGTATAAATTAATACAATTAAACAAATCAACGGCACTTCACCATCTCCGAAGTCTTGCAAGAATCCTCCTGAAAACATTATAACCCTGCCACACATTATTGCCTCCTTGTTATACTACACAAAGCCAGAGAGTGAACACTGATAACAAGCTGCCTCATTCCAGTTTATATTTGTCCAACCTATTTTTATGTTACCCAATAATACTTTTATATCCTTTACTCATGTACGAATTAATTGCCCTACCATATTGTATTACTTTTGTCACTACCACTACTACTACTACCACTAGTGAACATCGAAATGGTACCTCACTAGTATTCACCTCACTCTGAGCCTTTATATACCCTCTGTGTCCATGTATTGTTTGTAATGGCTTGATAAAGCTCCTGGAGAGCGAAACGTTGCCACAATAAATGTCACATTAGTTGCACTTGTGTCCTTTTACTTTACAAACATGTGTGATAACGTACAGAACGTCCGTTTTACGTGTGTTCATCAAATTTACTTCTACAAACCTAAATTTAGAAAAAAAATATGAAAATTTCATGGTACACTTTTGACACAGACGGGTATAACTCGGAGGATATGGTATATCGCTGGGCACCAGCACTAGTGACGGTGGACGCGGATGTCAGCATTGCCCAGTACGAACTGTTTAAAATCACCACCACCTCTGCTAAAGTCACAGTCAGGAGAAAAGGTAAGAGGGTTCGAACTTTTTCAACAATCACTATGGTCCGGTTCTTAAATTCTTCTTACATGGTTAAATAAATTATAGAGCCAAATATACACATACACACATACATTTATGCGATAACTATTGAAGTTTTCCTTTGGCTGGAGGTACTCTATAATACATTTAGAAAAACATATATTTACTGTAAAATATGCGTCAAATATTAAAGCAACGAAGTGTAAATCGGTGAGACGTCTAGACATTTACAAATTTACTACTCTGCTATAACTCTGTATTTTCCTCTTTCCTGCAGAAAACAGACGCCCAGGTAAGTTACAGACGAATTATTGTAGGTTATAGATGAATATTTGTTACTTAGAGATGAATTATTGAAAGGTATAGATGAATTGTTGTAGGTTAGTTAGCTGAGAATGGCAGAATAGTATCATAGAAGGTATAAATATAATCTACGACATATCGAGACAACTTCTTTTATATTTGCATGTTTGATTATAGATATAGGACTTTTATACGTCTATAATGTGAAAAACAATGTAGGAGTAGAACAGACATTTATCGTAGCAACATTTCATTCATTGTACAGCTTTATCAAGTCACCATCATTAAGTTAGGTAAGGTTCGTCAGGAAAAAGGACAAGTGTTTCCTGACTCGGGTTTTAGTCAGATGATGACCCGCCGTTGGAGCTTTTGGTCATCTGACCGAGGCCTTCCACTGGCTTACCGGTCCACCCCTTTAAAAATTATGGTCAGTTATAACCATTTAGCATTTTTGTAGCCTTCTAGAGTGTCACTATCACAGATATAATAAAACCCTACTTGAAAGCTTGCTCTGGATCTCTGCTTTTTCTTCGCTACTGCTGTCCTCTTTACAACGCTGTAAAAATTTCAACGACGTAATTGCATCAAGTCATTAGGTGTTATTTCTGGAAAAAAAATCATGAACAAGTTGTTTAATATGGGGGACAAAGTACTTCCAACACTGCGTCCAATTTTCTAACGATTTAAATCTCCACTGAAATAAATTGCATTTAAGGAAAGGCCTAAAGATTTTTGCTTTAGACAGTTCGTCTTGAGGAGCTGCCAGCTTAATTTGTAGACAATGCAAAAATTATGTCTATGAAAATTTTTGTAAACTCAAGTTTGCAAATTTCCCTTCATTTTTTAGTTTTGGTGTATATTTATACACGAGTTTGAAAATTTACCTGCAAAGGATGACATGAAATTACTTACAAAAAATTATTTGCCGAAGTAAATTTTGTGGGTAAGCGCCCCCTGGCGGCCTGGTTCTAGATTAGACCGTAAGCTTATGAAGCTTACGGTCGCCCAAGAATGTATCGCTTGTAACAGCATTAGCCACCCATTCTAACATAACATCTGACCAGGTTCCGTTCACGAAAAGAAAAATTTTAAGCTCTATTGCTAAATTATTTGCGCCACACACACACCTATAAATTATATTATATATATATATATATATATATATATATATATATATATATATATATATATATATATATATATATATATATATATATATATATATATATATATATATATATCAATAAATATATCCACTACTGGTGCTTATCAGCTTCATTACTGTCACTTGCCTTTTGACAGTCGTCTTCAACATAGTTACCTCTGGACAGTCACCTTCATCACTTCCACCTGTGGACAGTCATCCACTTTCCCCATTGCTACATTTATACAGGTACTCATTTTCACAATTTTCACCTGTGAACAGTAACCTCCATCACTGCCGCAGGCGGACACCCTTCATTATCACGTATGTGCACCCACCTTCACCATTATCCCCTGAACTTAACACTGAGATGGTCACTGCTCTTCCAGAGACCATCTCTACGCTCAACGTCAAGTTTCACCTCAAGAGGCTAACTGGCTTCTTCTTATTACAAGTGTACGTTCCCTGCATCCTCATCGTCTGCTGCTCGTGGGTTGCCTTCTGGATCACGAAGAAAGACGTTCCTGGTAGAGTTTGCTTAGGTGAGGTACAGTTTGATCAAGATGCCCTGGGTGATGAAAAATTATCCAAAGATTTCCGCTTGTAGCTCTTTCTCGAAACGTGAGTTTCATTGTTTTGGCAAAAAAAAGTATTTGTCTGCATGCTACTGCCTGTCTCTAATGAGTTTCAAAAATATATTTGTTAGTACATGGGAACTTCTTATCATGCATGTGCCAACTTGGCGTATTCGGATAATTAAACACTGGTATTTGTATGAACTACATCTATTTAGTAAATCTAAAAGATAAAAATATACTTTTGTCAACTTTTCCACAAGAAAGGCTGGGTATCTGAGTGATTTTTCTTCATCCTGATATATTTACATATATTTAAAAACTTAACTATATGGCTAACTATATGTCTAACTGTATAACTAATTATCTATCTACCCATTTTATAATTTTAACCTTCCTCTCATCCATTTCTGCTGCTTCTTTCATTTCCAGTCTCCTTCCTTCCTTCTTCGGGACTCACTTCCGGGTCTTCCCTCCTGAGAAATCCTATTCCTCTCATCTCCATGCATAAACTTTGCTATTATTTTATTGCTTGCGCTCATCATGCTAAGGTAGTTTGAAAATATCGAAATTCGAATAATTTTGCACCCGAAGTAAATCGTAAAAGAATAATGGCTGAAATATTTAAAGATTCTTATTTTTTAAGCTCGTTGCTCAGGAATCTCTTGAACAATAAGAAAAAAAATCATGTCAACAACGTATATAGCGTTTATAATATGTTAATGTTTGCAAAGAACACTGAACCTATAATGGTTGGTCAGAATTAAATACCGCCTTTAAAAAAAATTAAAGGGGAGTTCAATCGAGAAAAATATGAAAAAATATCGTTAAAACTTATAAAAAATTCATGACGGATTTATTAAAATTCAGAGGATTTATTAAAATTTAAAATAAACAGGTTTCTCATTATTTGTGCAGACGCTCTGTGAAAAAAAATTGATTTACTTTGATTTTATACTGAATATAAATTCTTTTGTGGAAGAGAGTCAATAATAGCAGAAAAAAGTGGTCAAATGGACCTGAGGTTTTCTCGCCGGTTGTCAACAGTTTGATTGGTCATAGATCGATCAGCAATTAGGAGACGAAGGCTCGAGCCTGCATCATGTCTTGCGCTGAATGGTAAAATAAACACAAATGCACTACACTGCGATTCTTTATCGACTACGTTTCGCCCACACACAAAAACAGACCCGTACGAGTTAAACGCTTCATGGACCCACTTCACCCCCCCCCCCTCAAGCCACCTTCCTCCCTCAGCTCTACTGGAAGATGTATTTTCCGGAAACTAAGATTAATTCCTTGGAAAATGAGTAACTTATTCAGTAATTATGTAAATATCATAAGAATACTTGTACAAACCCTCGTTGTGTCACATTATCTATAAGCGAAATGATTTTCAACAAACACACTTAATTTGTTATTGAAAAAACGCAGGATTTACATTATTATTACTTTTGAACAATGCTTTTAAAATAAATTGCTTCAGAGTTCAATAGATACAGATCTGCAGATTATACTGTAACGTGATGTTTGCAAATCTTTCGTGGGTCTGTTACAGTATATTGTGTCTTTCATCTGAATACCGTTGCTGGAACCATACACAAATAACGACGTTTCGGTCCGACTTGGAGTTTGTAAGCGGTCTAAGTCAGACCAAAACGTCGTCTAAGGTTCTCTCTTCTATGTGCGGGTTCTTTGTGCATTGCTCCACGGAACTAATGTTGTTGTTATAGGTCTGCTATTTTTCATGGGATCTCTTTGGAATTTCGCTCAATATGTGCCTTATGTCAGCTTTCTCAAAAAGTGTCGGCACGCTAGTCAGAGACAGTCATCCTCGTACCCTCCTCCTTCCCTATTATTCCCCAAAATTAAAAACGTGTTTTAAACTCTCATCTGTTCTCATTGATTTTAAATACTGAATACATTTCCAATGACCACTACTGCATTTTTATTTTAGAAAAGTAACAAATTAATTCACTTTTCAACTAAAGATATGATTATGGAATCATTCATCACTAACTTTAAATAATTGTTTCTAACCAGCATTTAGTCTGTTTTTTTTCAGGATTGTCTTCACTCTCTTGATTTCCGCTGCTGCTTTCATCTATAATGTCATGATGTCTTGTAATCTAACTTTTTTAACATCGTACACCAACTAATATAAAGAAAATATTTGTTATTTCATGAGACTGCATATCCCTACATTGGAATATTTCAGCATCGTTGTTAAATAAATTCTTTCCAAATAAATTAATGATAAATAAAGCTACATGCGTGGCATTATAGAGCGCATCACACTTGGTAACACACGTTGCTCCACCTCACGTAACTGCCTCTCTAAAATCAGGTGGAACTACAGTGCTTTCTCTGACCAAGCTGGGTGTTGGAGGGCGTTCTACAACACTCAAAGTATCTTACCCAACATCCCTCGACTACTTCGTCATCCTCTGCTTCATCTACGTCTTCGGGGCCATCGCCGAGTTCGCCCTGATAAATTTCCTCGAGCGGGTGGCGAAGGAAAGGAGAGGCCAAGTGGAAGAAGCGAAGAAAGCTTTAGACAAGCGAACTGAAGCCGAGCTTGCCATAAAGGAGTTCAATATGGTGGGTCCCCATAGAGAATTTACTTTAGTTTTGCCTTTTCAGTGGTCTGCGTCCTCATGGTGTGCCATTTTTCTCTCGTATGGCCAGGTGTGACCACTGTGCTGTCCATGACAACGCTAGGATTCGGCGGGCGCTCTGCCTGGCCAGCGGTCTCCTACGCTACGGCCCTCGACTACTTCGTCATTCTGTGCTTTGCCTTCGTGTTTGCGGCTGTGCTGGAGTTTGCCTGTATCAACTTCGTCGAGAGGGCGGCCAACAAGCGACGAAAGAAGCTGGAGGATCTTAAACATCAGATCACAGAACGCATAATGGTGTGTTGAGCGGGCTGTAGTGCATTCTGTAATCTCCTCGATGCTATGCACGTCGAGGCGGAGGCCTGTAGCTGATGTATATAGTCTTGATGTATATTAGTGTAGTGCTAAGCACACTACAACGCTCATGTAGCAGCATGCGAGACCGGTGGTCGGCTTCAAGCACCCGTCTTAGGCAAGGCGAGGAAATGTTGGCCTTTCTTAGATGACTTTTTTCTTCTGATGTAGCATGATATTACATGGGTTTTTTTCTGATTTTGATGTAATGTACCAGTTATATTTATATTTACGTGTTTTAGCCGTACTTTTTGTTTAATTATAAAATATGTATTTTTTTAGTTTAGAGTATTGAAGTGTATTATGATCATCTAAAATTTTTATCTGCATTTTTTTATTTGTGGTCCATTTACATCACCAAAAAACTTCCAGTAAATACAAGTTCCTTTTCTTAGGTTGCTTAGAGGTATATTTAGTTGCATAAACGTAAAAACAACATAAATTTCTCTCTCTCTCTCTCTCTCTCTCTCTCTCTCTCTCTCTCTCTCTCTCTCTCTCTCTCTCTCTCTCTCTCTCTCTCTCTCTCTCTCTCAAAATTGGTATTAATTCCTAAATTTTATGTTAATTGTGTTGAGAATAATGTGCATGACCACAGTGGGATTCTGCATGAACATCTTGATCAATGCAAAGAAAATCCACAATAGTTCAGTGGAGCAGCATAGCACCAGAGCTGTCGTCCTGCCATCAAGGTGCAGCGCAGAACAAATATCAGAAAGCATTCTCCCAATCGAGTTACATCTACGTGTGTACAATTATCCGTGTCCTCAGCGGACAGAGGATCGAGCCTTCATTGCTCTCCACCCTATGTGGCCCAGATGCGTTTAGCGCTGCTCACCATAAGTGAGTAGAATGTTGTAGAATTATGAAGGAAAAATGCTATAGAAGTCATACAGTGCCTGGAGAATAGGTGGTGATGAGGTCTGATCCATGGAAAGTCAGTTCCAACTCCTTGGATCAAGAGACCCTCACCGGAATCACCCTCCTTTGAAGGGTGATTCCGGTGTTGTATCAGAAGGCATAAAATACTGACTAATAAATATATTAATTCCATGTGAAACGCTTGGAAAGTTATACTACGATACGTTTCGCTGACTAGGGGCATTTTTAACACATTGAAAAAACTCATGGTGAGCGAAACATCTCATGGTAAATATTTCCAAACACTGGATATGTCCGCGCTATTCAAGGGAAAAAGCTGTATCTCCTATCATACTGGGGAACTATGAGACAAATATACATGGGATGAACGTTACTGTATCAAATGGTGATACCAGTATATGTAAATAGACACTTATGTACAGTTCAGAACGTTTCGCCCTTCGAGGCGAAACGTTTCCTCTAATAAATGTCCAGAACTGTACATCAGTGTCTTTTTCCACATCACAGTGTCAGCATCTCTCTCACTCTCGAGTGTCATCACAGGTAATTCCTGAATATTAGCTTTGATGGCTCCTACTTATAACTGCAATGTTGTATTATATAAACTGTAGCATTAGTTTACATAGATTGTGATGAACTGATTTTACGTTGACTCAGACTATGTAGTAAGTTTAGAATAGAAATTCTCTAACAAAAAGTTGTATGCCGTGTATTTTTTGTGTGTGATTTCAGTATTTTGTTGTCATCAAGGCTAATTCCGTTTCCTTCAATATTACTTCGCGTAAGAGATGAAAAGAATTTTTGATTCCTTTTAATTTCATTAAAGTCCTTTTTTTCTCCCCTTTTCTTTCCTGGATTCTGTATAATGCATTGAGTTTTATCTCAGTGTTTTTCCTTTTTTAACCAGTATTTCTTCTCGCTCTTGAGAAAGTGTGATACCTTTGAGAAGTTCAGTAATTCTTTGTCATTTTCTATAAAGGGACCGACTCTCTCATCCTAACCTGCATATTCTCTTTTTTTTCCTTAATGGTATGAGCCTAGAGAACACTTCTTGCTCCAGTGAGTTCGTCCTCACGAAATACTGTTATTCGTGCTCCCTTTTTGACATATTTCAGTAAGATCATGATTTATTTGATCCCAGTTAATGTATTTATTGTCGAATCTGAATTAACTGAATATACCATCATAAAAGTCCTAGTGTTTTGCTTCTCAAGGTCAGTGTGAATGTAAGAGTAAACTTCAGTTAGGTCGTGGCCCAAGTTTTCTGCACTAGTCACCGTCAGGTTCCATTACTGATCCTCATTGTTTGTGAACTTGAGGTCACGAATATTTTCTAGCTTGGTTGGTTCCACTATTTACTTTCTTAAAGCGAATTTATCTCTAAGTCTTATTAGTCTGTGTGTGACTGTTTATCCTGGGATTCTCTTTGCTATTACAGCATTTGCTACATTCCTCAATTTCGGATAGATTAAGTTGAAATCACCAAGAAACTCGATGTTTGGAGCTGGGATTGAAAACATACAACTCGAAACAGTATTCAATGATCAATACGTAGCATTGGAAATGTTAGAAATTTGTAACTGGTGGTTTATATGCAAGTGTAATAAGTAGATTTTGATTTTCAACTTTTGTTACCTGAACGTCGACTTTATTACTTGTAACATGAAGTGACATGAGTGATTCTTTAACATAGACGAGAAACTTTATTTTCAGAACGTTTTCTTGGTCGCATCTAAATATAATGTACCCAGATAAAGACATACGTAAAGTTCAAGACATTTATCGAGGAAACTTTTCGTCAAGAGTATCTTCATCAATTATACTGAAGAAGCCATTTGTGGCGAAATGTTTGCTCAATAAATGTCTTTATTTGTGTATATGTCTTCGTCTCCATACTGACTGTATCACCACACTTGTTCTCCAGATGGTACCTGGGAATCCATATATTTCATAGTCAAAGTGGTATTTCATGTGGGTCTCCGTGAAGACTGCTAACACTGTATTTGTCTCAGTGAGGAGTCCACTAATAAAGTATTTTGTTAGTGCTTGGTTTAAAACTGTGTATATTTTACAGGAAAAAAATCAATGTTATTTTCCGGGGGATTTTTTTTGCTGTTGTTGACAGTGATATCTGTGACTGTGAGAGAGCCACTGGTATTGTTGCCAGTCCAACAAGCGTTCGAGATGGTGGTAAATTCTTGCCATTTCTCTCTATTACTTTTCGCTTTACGGCACTAAAAAAAATCCTGGTTCCTTTCAAGTGGTACGAAGGTCAGTCTGTGTTGACACATTGTTTCTTATAAAACATTTTAGGGTGAAAAATGTCTACAGGACGTAAGAGGATATAAGTCTTGAATTAAGTGATCACATCAGGTAGTCAAATCTGCAGGTGCTGTTCCTTTTCCCGGACATTCCCTATCTACTTGCATCCCAAACAAAGAATTTACACATTTCAATTTCGATTTGAAATTGACTGTGATTTTTGGAATCTGATTCGTTGATTTCCAGACATGTACCAGAATACGTGGCAGCCAATCCTCTTACAATATGTGATGACTGGAGTACTCCTCTTGTGTACTTTACTGCTTACATAAATTATTCCTTTCGCTGCAACAGCACTCATATTAAAGTCTTCTGTTGTACGTGAGTGGCAGTTTGTGTACTACTCTCATCATCAGCATCTCTTTTGCAGTCTTCATAATTCCAGTCCTTTCACGCTCTCTCTCTAAATGAAAATCCAGACAATTTGAAGAACCTGAGTTTCAAAGTGTCTACATATTATATTACGGGAGGCTCTAAACCCGTGTGGGTCATTTAGCTCAGCCGTCTGTGCCCACCTGAACCTCTTTAAGTTGAAATTGCAAAATAGAATATTGTTCAGTGTCTTCTCTTTTCTTGATTTTTTCTCTGTAATTTTTTCTCTCTCGTTGCCTCAACTAACGAGGATCCTAATGGATACCCATATTGTTTTAAAAGTACACTTTCTTCTAATAGTGTAAGTTTTACTCCATACTGTCTTCAGCTAAAGCTCGTCATGAGAGTTTGAGAGAGAGTGTGTGTGTGTGTGTGTGTGTGTGTGTGTGTGTGTGTGTGTGTGTGTGTGTGTGTGTGTGTGTGTGTGTGTGTGTGTAGTTTGTCTTTTCAGATGAATATGAAACAGAAACTTGTATTTTTTTTTACACCCCGACAGGACTGCTGCTGTCTTTTCTTGTCTCATAAACGCGTGAGAGCAGGTACATCCTCTTTCTACTATTTACACCTAATTCATACTACATATACATTAGTGCATGTATGTGTATACACACTCACCCGAGTTTCTTATTTATTCCTAGCTCTTGTAGTTTTTTTTCTTTTATCTCCATGAGGAAGTGGAGTAGTATGTCTTTTTCGTATGTAATGTGCATCATAAGAGGCTATTAAAATGCGGGGAACAAGAGGCTAGTAACCCTTTCTCTTACATTAATTACTAAAATGATAAGAAAGGCAATTTTTAAGGTGCAAAGAATGAGTGTTTGTAGGGGAGGGGTAATTTGGATGAAAATTAAGAACTGATTCTTAATGTTATGAATGGAAAGAAGTTGGATATCATAGCTCTAAGTAAAACAAAGCTAAAAGGGAGGGAAGAATTTCAGGAAAAGGGAGAGTAACTGAGTAACTGAATCGAGAGTATCTGAGAGAATCAGAGCTGAAGAAAGGGGAAGAGTAATATTAAATGATCAGCTATGGAAGGGGAAGAGGGATTATAGGTGTTTAGAGGTTTACAGAGTTTGCGCCGCAGGGAAAGAGATATTTTGCGAGGTCTTAAGAGAATATTCAGTGAGTTCTGAACCAAATGTGAAAAATTATTGTTGTGAGGGACCTAAATGATAAAATAGAAGGAGCTTTTGTAGATCTCATAGTAGGCTAGTTTAGAGTGCTGCAGTTAATTGGTACTTGGGGTCTCTAAGTGAAGGATGAATAGAAAGAGGTTTAATAATAGGGAAAAAAGGTGAGTGGTGCGTTGAGGTATATGTGGAGACAAAAAACGTTATCTATGGAGGCAAAGAAGGGAATGTATGAAAGTATAGTAGTACCAACACTCTTATATGGGTGTGAAGCTTGGGTTGTGAATGCAGCAGCGAGGAGACGGTTGGAGGCAGTGGAGATGTCCTGTCTAAGAGCAATGTGTGGTGTAAATATTATGCAGAAAATTCGGAGTGTGGAAATTAGGAGAAGGTGTGGAGTTAATAAAAGTATTAGTCAGAGGGCAGAAGAGGGGTTGTTGAGGTGGTTTGGTTATTTAGAGAGAATGGATCAAAGTAGAATGACATGGGGAGCGTATAAATCTGTAGGGGAAGGAAGGCGGGGTAAGGGTCGTCCTCGAAAAGGTTTGAAGGAAGGGGTAAGGGAGGTTTTGTGGGCGAGGGGCTTGGACTTCCAGCAGGCGTGCGTGAGCGTGTTCGATAGAAGTGAATGGAGACGAATGGTATTTGGTACCTGACAATCTGCTGGAGTGTGAGCAGGGTAATATTTACTGAAAGGATTCAGGGAAACCGGTTATTTTCATATAGCCGGACTTGAGTCCTGGAAATGGGAAGTACAATGCCTGTACTCTAAAGGAGGGGTTTGAGATATTGGCAGTTTGGAGGGATATGTTGTGTATCTTTATACGTATATGCTTCTAAAGTGTTGTATTCTGGGCACCTCTGCAAAAACAGTGATTATGTGTGAGTGAGATGAAAGTGTTGAATGATGATGAAAATATTTTCTTTTTGGGTCACCCTGCCTCAGTGGAAGACGGCCGACTTGTTAAAAAAAAAAAACACTTGTTTTAAGAAAAAGTTACGAGATACGCTGGGTATGATATAGTAGACAAAAGGTTGAAGGGTAGACTTCTTGATTTGTAAATTTTTAAAGTCTCGACAAATATATCGTGTCGTTATCTAATGGAGCTACAAGAAAAATTTCAGCAGTGGGTAAAAGTGAGGTTTAATAAATTACATATAAGCAACAATTAGATACAAGTAACTTTTTGGAACCAAGGTGAGCTATAGAGAGTACATATAAGGAAATCGAGAAAGGTATGGGGTAGATTAAAGAATGCAGTGTTAGTGTGCCTTCTCCAAACTACAAATTCTCCGTACAATATTCACATCATACGTTTTACTTACACTACATTTCCACTGCTTCTAGCCTCCTCCTTGGAGCAACATTCATGCCTATATAAGCTTGTTTGTACCACTATACTCTCAGACATTTTCCTTTTTTGCCTCCAACAAACGCTCTTTGTCTCCACCGATGGCTCCGTGTACCACCCAGCTTTTTTCCCACGTCAGTTCACCTTATCTTTCATAGACTCATCCGCCGACAAGTCCATTCAAAAATATCTGAACACATTCACTTTCTCCATACTCCCTCCTGCAAATTTGATATCCAAGCTTTCGTCACCTATTTTTTTGGCTACCCATATTATCCTTTCTTTAACATGTTCACTATTAATTTCCTTCATTTACATACCTCACAGATTCATCCCCCAAACTCCGTAGCTTATCTACAGAATCTCCCAAAAGCACGATGTCATCGGCAAAAAACAACTTTGACAACTCCCACTTATTATTAGATTATCTTTAAATAGCACACCTTTACCCATCACCCTAGCATTCACTTCTTTTACATCCCTATCTATAAATTGGTTAAATAACCATGGCTAAGGCTTACTTAACTGGAAAATAATCTCCGTATCTCATTTATACTCTAAACTGAGCCTCACTATCTTCATAAAAACTCTTAACTGCTTTGAATAAACTACCGCCTATTCCATACACTTGAAACATCTACCACATTGCTCTCCTATCCACCCCAATCATATGCCTTTATTGAGGAGAGTTTATTGAGGTGATTTGAACATGATGAGAGGTGCATCAAAATAGGATAATTTGGAGGGTCTATTTATCTGTAGTCAAGGGAAGTAGAGGCAGGGGTCGTCCTAGGAAAGGTTGAGGGAGTGAGTGAAGGAGTTTAGAATGCGAGAGGCTTGGACATCAAACAGGCATAAGTGTGTTAAACAGGAGTGTAGGCAAGTGGTTTTTTATGGCTTGACGTGCTGTTGAAGTATGAGCAAGATGACATTTATGAAGGGATTTAGGGAAACCGGTTAGTCGGACCTGAGTCCTGAAGATTGGAAGTACAATACCTGCATTCTAAAGGAGGGGTAGGGATATTGCAATTTGGTGGGGCATTTGAGCTGTAGTGTCGGCGTGCCTCTGGCAAGACAGTGATGGAGTGGGTAATGGTGAAAGTGTTTCACCTTTTTCGGGTCACCCTACCTTGGTGGGAGATTGCCGATGTGTTAAAAACCATACATATATACATAAATTTAAATATATATGCTGTATGTAAGTGTATGTGTGTGATCCAACCTTCAAAAGCAAACTGAAAAGTAACAATGTTAAAAGACTGGCGCATCAAACGTTATACGTATACTAATATTAGTATACTTATAAGTATACTAATATTAGTATACTTATACGTATACTAATATTAGTATACTTATACGTATACTAATATTACATGGAACAGCGTTGGAAATATGATTGGCAGGTTTTCTAACAGATCATATTAATAATTAAATGTCTTTGTATTCAGTATGATACTGAAAACGGTTTGAGTAGTGCACTTCTACTGCAGTCTTAGAATTTTATGCCTGTAAAGCACAAGCAAAAACGTTAAAGTTATATGTATATATATATATAAACAGATATTATATATTATTTGCTTTAAAGTAATAACATCCAATATATCTTCAGGATTATTATATGATAAACATGATAAATTTTATAGTATGACAACATTAGGAAGCACACACATACACACACACACACACATACACACACACACACACACACACATACACACACACACACAAACACACACACACACACACACACACACATCACACACACACACACACACACACACACATCACAACACAACACACATCACACAACACACATACACAACACACACACACACACACATACACACACACACACACCACACACACATACACACACACAACACACACAACACACACACACAAACACACAACACACACACACACACATACACACACACACACACACACACACACACACACACACACACATACACACACACACACACACACACACACATACACACACACACACACACACACACACACAACACACACACACACACTACACACACACACACACACACACACACACACGCACACACAATCACCACACACACACACACCCACACACAAACACACACACACACACACACACACACATCACACACACACACACACACACACCACACACAACACACACACACACACACACACACACACACACACACACACACACATACCACCACATAGGGATGAAGCAGGTATAGCATGACTCGACCCGAACCACAAAAGTGCTACACACAATTATTTACAACATTTACTCCAGTATAATATAGGATAAACTATGGTTATGATGTGTGTATCTACTCAGCGCTGGAAGACCACGATGCTTGTGACAACCAATGTTGAGGTGACTGAGTGGACATCGATCCTCTTGATGAGACAACACTGAATGGTTCCTTCGCTGTTGTTCCTTGAGTAGTCGCGAACCATCGACGGACAACTCTTGTAGTGCACCAAAGTCCAATGAGGGAGGACTAAGCTCCTGCTGTGTCGGGAAGCCTGGAACCTTGCAGAGCGAGAGTGCAGAAGGTCTCCGTTCCGGTTGCTACCTCGTCGCCTGAAGATGTCAACTATCGACTCGGAAACTCTTGTAGTGGACACCCAAAGTCCACTGAAGGAGGCACTAAAGCTTCCTCTCGCTGTTGTTCCGGGAAGCCTGGAAGCCTTGCAGAAGCGAGAGGTGCAAGAAGGTCTCCGTTCCAGGCTTGCTACCTCGTCGCCAGAGAAAGAAGAAGAGAGTGGTGGTGATGGCAGTGGAATAGACACCAGTGTAGTGAGTGGGGAGACAGACCCAGCTGTAGTGAGACGGGAAACTCGTTTATCCGGTAGCGACAGTGGTAGCGCCACTAGTAGAGGTAGCATATTTAAGTTCGCGAAAGATAGCAAAGAAAAGAGAGAAAAATCGCAAGACAGTGAAAGTGATTTAACTGTTATAAAAGTGGACATCCAGTCAGAGGATGAGCCCCCTACCCCCCCTCCACCCTTCACGGTGTGGCAAATTTTGACCCAAAAACGGAAACTCATGACAGAAATGTCACCATCAAATATTGTGCCCACTGAAGAGGACCTGCTGGACCGATTCTCCATCATTGATCTTTATGCCCGTAGGTTCTTCCCAACGACATTCTTCATCCTCTTCACCATCTACTGGATATTATTCAACTACTACATTACTGATGAGTTCCCCGAGGAAACCAGAGTTCCCACAGATGGACTGGTTGTCGTGTAATGTTTGTTCTGATAAACTAAATTCATGATGAACAGGGAACGACCTAGCGTCGCGCTAAGTGACGACAGCCATCCAATCACAGCAGGGATTGTGTTTTTTCCTTAAAAATAAGATTGGGTATTTGAAACATTCTGTTTTCTCCCCCCTCTCATAAAAGACTGTTTTTTTTTTTTGTTTGTAGATTTCTTTCTTGTCCCATTATGAGAATAATGTCATGTAAGTTTTCAAAATATTCCGTCGTAGGTCTGCACACGTTCATGTTTCATACATGTTAATAAGTACCTCTAAAATTAAATTTGCAACAAGAATACGCTGATCGCAGTTGAAACTGCCCCTGAAATTTATCATGTATTTTAAAATGTAATAAATCTTTTCATTACTTTAGTGTATTTGGGCGGCAATGAAAAAGAATTATTCAGAATTACCATTTTCTTAGATACATTTTAAAATTAGTTTCGAGGAAGATAATACAGGAATAATTAATAAGTTTATGCACAAGTGTATTGTAAGGCTAGTACAATATTTTCTTAATACATGATACAGAATAACATCCGTGTTTTCGTGGCAATAGGTTAATGCAACAACCTCACGTTGCACGGGGTCAGTATTGCAGCATCTCGTGCCATAAGGTTAGCATAAACTTTCGTTGCGTGGGATCAGTGTAGCAGCTTCACGGAGCTCAAGTCAGGGCAATCTCACGTAGTGAGATGTAGTACAGCCTCAGTGAAGCGTCATGTAGCGCGAGACACTAAATGGACCTCATGTGAGTTTCATCAGTAATTTCTAATGGTGAGTCTTTAATTTTTTTATATGTGCCGCCAAATGAGCGTTGTATATCTTCATATTGGACACTCTATAGAGCCTTTAATTATTATTAAATGATTTGCATAATACGAAAGCCTTTTACATTTAGCGATCTCTGAAGCTGTCCGTAAACAGCCGATGCAAGAGCCAATATTTTGCATAAAAAACTCAGGCTGGAGAGAGACTTACTCTCATGTCGCCCCGTCTTCTTCGAATGTTTATACCGAAGAATTATATGAGAAATTTTTACTTGAGGTCTAATGTATAAAAATTTTTTTTCCGAAGGTTGTATTTATATATAAAAGCTCCT